TTAGGAATTGAAGATCCTTATATTTGGGTTGACATAAAATGCCTTCCCCTCAAAATTTCTCACCTCCATATTTGATACCCAGCCCCAATCGTTTCTAACCTATCATCTAAACTTCATCTCTTTGTAGACAACATGGATTGCCGCTTTTAGCTTTCAGACCAACAGATATAGCATGTCTTATGTAATTTATTTCCCCTTAGGACCCAGCATGGAGAACAAAGAGGAAATCAGTACCAATGATCTGCTTCTAAATTTAACCCATTACCTCCATCTATATTCGCCCTTGTTTAAGGCGTGATTTCAACGTGATATATCAGATAATGAGGAGTACGATGTTCTCTTGGTTCCACCAGATCCTGCTGTTGTAAATGATGAAGAAGGAAATTATGATAATCTTATCTCTTCAACTCGTCATCTCGATCTCAATTATTCAGACCGAAACGGCGGGGATGGTATACCAATTTGAAATCAATGAAAGACCACAACCGTGTTATCTTGTTCGAAAATGTTTTTGTTGAAAGTGTAATAAACATGATTGTTGGAAACAGTATCAAATAAAATAGCAGAATATTTTGAAATAAATCAAGCAGATTTGAAGACATTTTTGGGAATATTAATCTTAACACGTTATCATAAATTGCCTACTAAGAGGGCTAGTTGGAGTTTGGGTGAAGATTTTGGAATGCCATTAGTGTCATACAACAGATTTCAAGAAATCAAAAGAAAACTACATTTTGTTGACAAGGTACAAGTTCGAATGAAAAAGTTGTTGAAAGAACGTTGTGTAATCTTCTTCAGAGAAACTCGTGTCAGGATGGTTTTTCCATGAAAGCTTGTCTGTGGATGAGTCCACGATAAAAAAAAAAACTGGCCATTATCCAGCCAAACAATTTATTATAGGAAAACCCATACGATTTGGTTATCGTAATTGGGCTTTAACAAGTAGAGATGACTACTGCCACGAGTTTGATTTTTATTGCGGTAAGCCCAAAGAGATTTCTATTGATCTTCTTGGTGCAAAGGCAGTTAAATCTCTTCCGGAAAAGTTTCATATTGTTCCAAAAGAACATACCGTATATTTCGATAACCTTTTTACAAACCTTAAGTTGTTATGTGAGTTGCTTTATTCGTACTACAGAGCAACTGGAGCAATACAAGATAATAGAACAAAGTAATGTCCACTCACAGATGTGAAGATAATGAAGAAACAATCTAGAGCTATGATTACAGATTTGACACAAAAAAATGAAATTATAACTGCACGTTGCAAGAATAACAATATTGTTGCTATTGGATCAAATTTTGATCATGTAGAGCCTGTGGGAAAAGTATAAAGGTTGTGTAATACGCAAAAGGTTGATTTCAATATCCCGAGACTTATAATAAATTATAATAAAGGAATGTGTGATGTCTACCTAATGGATCAATCTGTACCGGGTGTCAATAAGAGGAAAAGATGGTGGTGGGTTATGTTTACTTATCTACATTACTAATGCTTGGCAGCTGCATGTTTTGATTGGCAGGACTGATGAGATGACATATCGTCCCCTCAGTATTATCTTGTTCTAACTACAAATTTTGATTTTTTTTCGAAAAACGACCCTATGATGTAGAAAAGCACAATGTTCAATCTCCACTTATCTACGTGACTCTACGTCATCTGCTCCGTATCAAACTTTTCAATTTGACATTGTTCTAGCAACAAGTTGATGCATTTGGCCAGTATAATTTTGTTCTATGTCAATTTTATAATATAATTCTGTTCTAACAGTACATAATTAAAGCATAAATTTTCCGAGGATACGCTAGAATTATAATGTTCTATGTCCGATTCTGCCAATGAAATTAGCTGTTTAAGTCTTGTGACTTGTGCGTCGTTGATCAAAATGGCGGCGTGTGAACATCTTTTAGTCGATTTTGGTTGTCATGCATTACCAGATTCTGAATCGTAAGTATATTTATCTTTTATATGTTGTCTTAACTGTGTTATTTTACACATATTTAGTTCAAAGTTTGTTTGTTAAAATATCTTAATGCCTAATATTGTTAATATATACCGTAGTATACGTCTATACTAATTGTATTGTTTAGTACTAGTAGTATAGTATCTGTAGGGTTTACTTTGTATTTATAATATCAAAATCATAATGAGGAGGTTCCAATATATCGATGATGAAAACAATGTCTTTGTAACAGATCAAAATGTGAAGTATTTCATTGTTAGTAACTTATTAGTCTTAGAACCATTAATATAAGTTTATTCTGGTTTTCAGTTTAGTATTAGTGTGGCAGAGGGGGGGGAATAAGTCCTTCTGTTTTTGCACTTTGTACTGATGTAGTCTATCTTTATTTCTATCCACAGAGAAGTGCGAAAGAGAACAATAAAAACAACAGAGACCTGGTAATGCAGTTTCAATGATATTGGCGCTGCCTGTATTCAAGTTGCGCAGCATCATTATGAGAAAAGAAACAGTGTTTATGTATATTCTCAATTACAAGATTGGTTGTGTAAAATTAATCCATTATTTTAAAGCTTATTCCTGAGTTTTGCATTTATTGTAATAATACTTTAATTCCAGTTGTATCATAAGGCAGGGGGCGTGGTGTGATCCGCACGTGACGCCATTTAGAGGGCGAAACCAATGTGAAAAACACAAAAAATTACAATAAATATAATTCTTTATCCAGCTAATCTTAAAATAAAATTATAGGGTAGAGGGGTGACACAAAACCAAAAATGTAAAATTGTAAGAGGGTGGAGGATTGACAACCTCAGTTACCACACCGAGTGTCACCCTAACTAGACTCGCCACTGACTAAATCAAATTATGTTAATGTATACAGATAACCCAAATTTACAGAATAAACTTTACATTTTAATGCACAAACCCCCTAATAAAGAACTGTAAAAACATTACATGTCATGTAATGTACTCTAATATATAAATTTTGCCATGGAAGTGATAAAAGTGAAAATTAATGACCAAGGACAGTCAGATTTACAAAAAGAAGATATTACTCATACAAAAGTATATTTTTACTCATAAAAAGTGCATTACACTTCTGGAAATCTATTGAAACTAGCTGTAAAAAAAAATTTGACTTAGAACATTATAGAATTTTCTTATCCTGATCCTAATAGTATTTTGTTCTATATCAAAAGTGAACAATAATTATTGTGGGCTTCTTTTGCAACATAAAGTAAAAATAGCTTCAATGCTCATTGTTTAATGCCCTTTAACATTTTTAAAAAAATAATTTTTAAAAAATATTTTTAATAGGTAAATCCGACCCTTGCATTTTTTGCAATATATGTTCTAATTTACCCAATATGTTTAAATAAATAACAATTAAAAGTAATGTTTACATGTAATATTTTTTGGGCGTTAATGGGTTAACTAAGCTCAGTCCAGTCTCAGATATATATTACTGTAATTAGACACATAATAGATATATACATATATATATACACATATATACAAATATATATACATATATATAGGCATATATATATATATATATATATATATATATATATATATATATATATATATATATATATATATATATATATATATATATATATATATATATATATATATATATATATATACTAGCTGCATCCCGTGCTCCGCCACGGTAAATCTTTTTTAAATGTACCAACTTTGGAACAGAACAAAACAAACAAAAACAACACAAACACAAAAAACACAACCACAAACACAACACAACCACAACACAACCACAACACCACAAAACACAACCACAACACAAACACAACACAACACAACACAACTACAACACAACCACAACAAAAACACAACCACAACAAAAACACAACCACAACACAGCCACAACACAACCACAACACAACCAAAAAACAACCACAATACAACCACAACACAACCACAACACAACCAAAAAAAAAAACACAACCACAACATTAGAATCACCACCAAACAACACGCTTTTTAGGCGTCCGCGCCCAAAGAGACCCTTTCCAACATTAAAAATTTAAGTCACATAAATAGATCCTACTCCATAACTTACAATAAAACAATGCGATGCAAATGAATGTACGGCAAGTGGTGTTTACTTTTATGGTTCTAAGAAAACACATTGGCAATGTAATTAGAATTACCACCGAAAATCACGCTTTTCCCAGGCGTCCGCGCCCAGAGAGAGTCTTTCCACCATTCTCTATATTATAATTATAAAATTTCACCATCTGTTAGCACCAAAAAACAAAAACAAAAAATAGTGATTTTGAGAAATCATAGACTAATTAGAAAATAATATAAATAATCTTAACATTTTTCTCTTTTAATTATGAACCTTAACATAGACTAATCAATGCGGTAGTAATAAAAAAAAGATTAACTTAAATTATTGTTGAGTTAAATATATTTTCAAATTACCTCCCTTGAAACAATTACCACAAAAAAAAAGTGGAATTAATTAGCTTTTTCGACCTACTTTTATGGAAATGTATCCATTTTTTCTAGGAATATTAACGAAAACGATATTTGACATTGATCTTTTTAATATGTTTTAGCAATGTCCGTGTATTTAATATTCTCTTTACGTTATGCGAAAGAGTAAAAACAGTGGAAATTATAAAATAGCTCTATACCGTTATATAAACAAACCCTACTCTACTACTTATAATAAGACTGCGGTGCACTGAAAAGCACAGCATGGTGCGTAGTTTACTTTTATTGTCCCAAAATCTATAGCGATGACGGACGGAAGGAAGGAAGGACAGACACAGCCCGCTTATATTATAGATTATATTATAGATATATATATATAATTTATTTATTTATGTATTTTTAAAAATTAATCAATTGATTAATTTTTTAAAATTTATATTTGTTAAGGTCAAAGCCCGAATTGCATTCAAATTACGCGTTGGTTGGCAATTGTGTCCCTTGGCCGGCTCTCTTGGCCAAAGCACGAAGAGCTTAGCACTGGCCGGCCAACGCGTGCTTTGGGCTTTGACCGTAACATATATAAATTAGCAAACAAGGAAACAAACAAAATAAATTTTAAAAATTCGAATCTAGTTAGAATGCCTTGTATATTTATCTGTACCTTTGGAATGTCTGTAATAATTATTGAAGTTAGCCACTATGACTGGAACTGGTAAGGCGATTACAAGAACACCGCATAAAACACATAAGCCTCCAATAAGTTTTCCAAGAAAACCTACTGGAACGTAATCGCCATAACCAACTGTCGTCATAGTTACTATTGACCACCAAAAAGCGTCTGGAATAGAGACGAACATCCCTCCTGGTTGTCCCAGCTCAACATAGTAAATAGCACCAGAAAAAATCACAGTTGCTATACAGAGGAAAAGCAGAAACATGCTTAGTTCGCCCACACTGGTTTTCAATGTTTGTCCTAAGATTTTCAACCCCTGTGAATGTTTGCTCAGCTTTAAGATTCTGGCGACGCGTAAAACTCTTAGAGCACTTAGCACAGAACCTTTATGATCTGCACCACAGTCACCATGCTCAATGTTCATTCCTGCATTTAAATAGAATATAGCCTCCTTATAAGTAAATGTTTTGTTTATTAATGGATTGGTGGATTGGTGGATGGGTGGATGGATTGATGGATCGGTGGATGGATGGGTGGATGGGTGGATGGGTGGATGGGTGGATGGGTGGATGGGTGGATGGACGAGTGGGTGGATGGGTGGATGGATGGATGGAACGATTAAATAGATATAATTTTACACTTACCAAGTATGACAAAATATGGAGCTATGGATAACATATCTATCCAGTTCAAAATGTGCTTCAGAAATAATAATTGAAAAGGGCACGTCGAAAATCGAACAATAAGTTCAACGGCAAAAAATATTACACAACAGCTCTCAACTAAAAATAAAGGTGAACCCCAATCAATTACAGCGATGTCTGTTAAGTTTCCGTGATCATTAACAAAACTCTCATTTTTACAGGAACTTTCTTTGAACTGTGGCAAAGTCTCAACACAAAATGTAACTATTGATATGAGAATAAATGTTACAGAGAGTATTGCGTACAACTTAGCAACCCGTGAACTTTCAGGATACTCAACTGTATTAAAAATTTTGCCTTTCAAAGTGCCCCGATCAAAATCGTGTAATTCATTTTCTATAATGCATCCTTCACTTCTCTTAAGCGAAATTATGGCATTCTCGTCTAATTCAAAAAAATTAACCTCATTTAGAAAAATATCTATTGGTACTTCGAGAGGTTTTTTGAGTCTTCCTCCACTTTGATAATAGTAGAGAATAGATTGAAATGATGGCCGATGTCTGTCAAAAAAATATTCCTTTTTCTTTCCATCCCAATATTTCTGTCGTTTCATCGCGTCTCCAAGCAATGTATTTGGCATTCTACATAAGGTGCGAAGTTGTGTTTCAAATTTTAAACCACTGATATTTATTGTAATTCTTTCACAGCCCGCAGTCTTGCAGCGATGATTACTTGGAAGTTTTTCCAATAATGGTTTTCCATAATATGATGTTATATCACTTTCCCTGTCTTGAATATGAAAGAAATTACGTAAAACCGTTACAGATTTAAGATTTTCTTTATCAGTTTGAGAACTAACATTTTCTGACAATGCTAAATAATTTAAATTTTGAAAAACCGGTAGGCTATGCCTTCTGTAATTATTCGTTCTTAAATAAAATGGTAGGCCTACATCTGGTAGCAAATTAGTGTGATCACAATTTTTACGATCAACAAACGTGTTTCTCCTTCGCATCAGGTTTCCAGAGGGCCGTTTATATGAAGAACACCCTAACATATCTGTCAGACTTCCGATTCCTATTGGATTCATTGTGATGTTGTGA